AGGATTTAATTGATTTTCCATCTCTGGAAAATTTAACACAGATGATTTTGTGGACTATTATCAGCTGTGGTAAAAGAGATTATATATATTGAATAATAGGTTGTACCTATATATTATATCTATAATATGCCAAGAAAGCCTTCAGTAATCATACTAAAATATATGTGGTCTGCAGCCTTGAGCAGAAAAGTTGCCTGTTACTCACTGATAGTTGAATATAAAATTAAGATACATACATGCACACACATATAATTATACTAACAGTTTCACATATGAGCCTCTTTGTGTTCAGTAAAGATTATGATGAAAATACGCAGCTGTTCATAGTCAGCCCCCCTCTTAAAAAGTGTTTTAGGAGCCTCAAAAGAATTCAGTCTAATGGTATGAATTTAAAAAGGAGACCTGGACAAATAAAACATTTTTTAAGTAAAGGCTGGGATAAAATGAGAACACTGATATGCATACCCACACGTGTAAGAGTTGGTTGTAAATTCATCTCTGAGCTTTGTATAGTCAAAGAGAAAACCAGCTAATGCTACAGTTTCCAGTATCACCCACCATTCCCTAAGGGAAGGCCCGGGTCCTGGCCTGATACAGAGACAGTGTGATACGGTAGAAAACATTTTGAAAACTCCTGAGGAACATTCACATCTGTTCAGAATGTAGAACTTGTTTAATCTTAGTGTCGGTCTCAAGGTTTAGTTTCCTCTTTCTGCCACACACACAGTGCAGCATCTCTGCTACACTATCTCTCCTGTAATCATCATCCAGACTCTGATTAAAGATCTCTCATCATGGCAATGTGCCACCTTCAGAAGCAATCAGTTCTTGAAATTTTAAGCATTTGACTATTAGCTCCAAAAGGAAAGGCCTTCATTATTGCTCCAGTCTTTAACTTTGATTCCAAATATAAAGATAGTAATAATATAGGTTAATACACGTTTGTTACAAAACCATTAGTTTTTAGTCTGGCTTTTGGGATTATAACCTAAAAACCCTCCTTCAGAGGCTTATAGACACCTGCTTGTCAACATTGGATTTTTCTTCTTCAGGTCAGACTTTCTCTTCTTGTTCCATTAACTGCCCCTGTCATGTCTCCCAGTGAGCTTTGAGCTCATGAAGAACAGGAGCTGTGTCATTCACATCCTCCCTGTCCCCTTGCCTGGAAATAATGACTGGATCCCTTTTTTTTTTTTTGAGATGGAGTTTTGCTCTTGTTACCCAGGCTGGAGTGCAATGGCGAGACCTCGGCTCACCGCAACCTCTGCCTCCTGGGCTCAGGCAATTCTCTTGCCTCAGCCTCCTGAGTAGCGGGGATTACAGGCACGTGTGTCCATTCCTGTTAATGTGCCATCCTTAACTGGAAGTAGTTATGTCCCAGGGAGCCTGAAGGAAAGTTGTAAGCTCACTTACCCCCTTTTTATCATTCCTAACAACTTATAGCAACAAAGCATAAGATCACCTTAGGTTTGGGCAGCCTTGTTTCACTTATGGTTCACTCATTTTGCTCTTGAACCTGAAATGCCTACATTTCTTTCCCAACGTGCTGCTGAGCTAACCTAAATACAGGACCTTGTATTTGTTCCTGTTATTTTTAATTTCATTAGAGGCAGCTCATTACTGCAGTGTAGCAGTATTTTTTTATATATTTTAATTTTATGTTCATCTGGTCAATTCAATATTCTTCTTAGTCATTGAAGAACTTGTGTATGACTTGTATTGATATCATGGCTGGAACATTTAGTAGGGTTGGGTCAAGGTCAAAAATCTGGCATTACATTAGAAACTTCTATAGATTGATGTATTTCATTCATCTGTTTATAGATTGTTGAAGTCAGTGGTTGCCCTTATTCCAGCCCCATTTCTATGTTAATAACAATGTTATGGAGGACTTCTAATATCATACACACATACTAGCATTTGGGCAACACTGCATTTCCATAGTTAAACTGCTGCAGACAGAAACTAGACCAGCTTAACATGACTTTTCTTTTTTTTTTCTCTCTCTTTTTTTTTAATTGCATTTTAGGTTTTGGGGTACATGGGAAGAACATGCAAGATTGTTGCAGAGGTACACACATAGCAGTGTGATTTGCTGCCAACATGACTTTTCTTTGGTGCTTTATTTTAGTTATCACAAATCTCCTCTTTGTTAAAATCCTTTAAAGAATCTCACCCAAGATCTGTGTCTAGCTCTGTAGTTTGTAATGTGAGAGTCTACCATCTCTTTTTCCAAAAACAGCCATGGCATTTTCCTCCTTCCAATTTTCTGGCACATCTTCATTCTCTGTAGAACCCTCAAAAATGGTTCAGCAACTTATCTGTAAGATTTCTCAGGTCTCCTCAATGTGATCACTCAAATCAGGCAAATTGAGTTCACTGAGGGAAGCTTGAGGCCTAATTTCTCACAGTCTCTTTAGGATATAAGTACTCTTTTTTTTTTTTTTTTTTGGCCAGTGGAATGGAGCAATAATATTATTATGTGACTTCAATCTTAACTTGATATTTTCCAATTTATTAAATGATCTTACAATTATGAAAACTACAAGAAAATGAGTAGAAAACCTTTATAGGTTTATAGCTTGTCAGCCCAGTGGTATCCCTTGCCTGCTCCATGTTGGTTGTGGCATTTTGACACTGCTCCAGAGATGAGGGGTAGGGAAGTGTCACCCTCAGTAATGACAGATACCATTGGTTTTGCTCCCCATCCAGTGACTGTTCATGGTGGCCTGTGATGTGTCCTAACCTTTCAGGAATCAGAATAGATATCATCCATGCCTATGAAAATTTCCTCTCCTCCCAAGTTTGTCAGCATTGTATTAGTTTCTTTTACACAGTTACAAGCTCTCTGACCCTTTTTTACCTTGATCCTTTGTTGCTGTGTCAGCTAGCTGATGAGCCTCGTGATGTTCAGTGACCCTGGGAGAGTGGTCCTCAGAAAATGCTCCTCTAGGTTCATTGGTCCTGGGAAGCAGGATCAGCAAGATAAATGTTGTGAAATTAAGTATGATATCTTCACGGTGATATACTACAATAACAGTAGTGTCATTCTACATCTTTTAAACAATAAGGCTCCTTTTATATTAATAATTGCTTCCCCAGTGACACTTCTGTTTCTCCTTTTCTCAACTTCTCTGCGTTCACTGAATTTTTCCTTCTCTTTCCTTCTTACACACTGGTTGTTTCAAGATATTATACTCTTGACATTTAAAATTTTTGATTCTTGGCATTATTTGTTTCACTGTTGCATAGTAACATTTTTGTTCTTTGCAACCATCTGCTTATTTTAAGGTGTGTAATTTTTCAATGGCTAGAATACTTTTATATCTTGACTTGCCTTAAATGCTAATCTAGGATCTTTGTGTAGCATTTTTTTTCTTTATAGACCTTTTATCTTCTCTTTAATGAGTACTTGATAGAGAAAAAATTGTATTCAGTTAATAATATTTGTTTTATATCTCAAGCATTTCACATATACTAAAAAGTATAGATTGCTGTAAAATTATTACAGTGTATAAAGTACTAGCCATTTTTATTGGTGAGGAAGTGAGGCTAAGCGAGCTAGAAACTTGCCCCAGTGCACTTAGGTTTTGACCCTAGACCCTCTCATCTCATGCCTCAGGATCCTTCTACTGTTCATACTTGAGCAGATCCTGCTTTCAGTTCAAAGTCTATTTAGGTCTTAATGCGCCGTGAAAATGAGAACTCGTGAGGCTGGTGTCAGGGGGAAATGCACAGATAAACCAATCAGACCCACTGTCCATTTATGCCTGTTAATATGACAAGAATAAAACCAGCAGAAACCCGAAACTTAGACCCTCTCCACTAATGTGGAAGCCAGGAGAGTAGGGAAGAAGATGGGAGCTCAGAGGGTATGTACATCTCCCCTTTTACTTATAGATTATTATTTTGGAAACAGAAGACTGACATTGAAATTCGAGGGAATGGGGAAAAAGGTCCCAGATCAAACTGTAGAATTTGAAGTCTGTGGAAGTTAATTGATTATAAATTGAAATATAATCGTAGAGTAATTTGCAAGAGAAAACTGAAGAATGTTGAGAAAAATATTTATAGTCTCAAATGTCTCTGTATGAATATACAGACTGACACATCTAAACAGATAGGGTCTCTCAGGCATCTTAGGACTTGGTGGGATTTGCCTAATGACTGGAATAAGGCAGTGAAAGTATATTAGCTTTCATTCATGTATTTATTTATTTAGTGAACATTAATTGAGTCATATGCCAGGCACTAGGCTAATGTCATGGTATGATTAAAGACTGTACTCAGAAGACAGAGACTGACATGTACATGAGTTATTAAAATTTGTATAACATTTTATGCAAGCATTTTTTCCCCCATTTTCCAAAATTGTAGAAAGTCCATGTCAGATCAGTCTCTTGGCAAACACACTGCTCTATGTGTTGTCTTAGGAAAGGCACTCTTCTCCTGCCAAGAACCTATTTTTCTGTCATAAGCTATGGGCCTGAAAAGTAGATTTTCTTTTCAACACCACATTCCTAGTCATTGTTATCTTTAAATAATCAGATTCTTCTAAAGAAACCAAGTTAGCTGTAAGACTCCACCAACGATGACCTTGTTGCTAGTTATTAATACATTCTGTTTCAATTAAATAAGCAGACTTTTATTTTTAAGCCTTCTTTAGGTTTTAAACTCTGTCTTTTCTGTTGCAAAACTTTTTCTGCAATTGGTAAAACATTCTTCTCATGTCAGTTAACATTTGTAGATCTCTTTGTGTGTGCATATTGCTTTGAAAACAGACCCCTATAGCAATCTAGAGTGTTTATTATTTAGTTTCTTGATAAGTTAGTCATATTTACTTATTGATTACCTCTTTAGAAAATTTGGCAATTTAACAAGCTTTTGATCATGTGGTGTAGACTGTAGTCTATTGTAGTTGCTAGGAACCATCTGCAAATCCCCAGTTTCTGCAAGGGAGCCCAGAAGAAAGTATTAACCCTTTGCCTGCTTGATTGCAGGAGGAATGCCAGCTCCTGAGCAGGCCTCACTGGTGGAGGAGGGGCAACCACAGACCCGCCAGGAAGCTGCCTCCACTGGCCCAGGCATGGAATCCGAGACCACAGCCACCACTATTCTAGCGTCCGTGAAGGAGCAGGTACATCCTTTTATTGAAATTGGCAATGAATTATTTCTTTAATGCCTTTAAAATTATCTTTGGATGTGTTTTAAATTTGTCTAACGTCCTTGACGCCTTCACGTTTTCTAATTATAAGGTGTTTACATCCCTGAGTACATTGGGATGACTGGCATGTAGAGCTGCTCCAGGTGCCAGTCAGAATCGGAACATGCAGGATACTTGTGCGTCTGCAAGTAAGGACAATCTCGATGGTGATCGGTGTCTCTGTCTCTCCCACATTGCAGAGTGTGTGCATGCACGCAAAGCTGTGTAAAGCGTAGTTCTCAATGCTGACTTTTCTGTCAGGACTCTGGCAACCTGAGGCCTGTAATAGCATTAGGTATTTTGAACATTTTAACATAGGTAGTATATATAGGGTTGTCTTTGTGATTGTTGGATAAAGGCTATATTTGTGTGTTTGTCTAAATTTAAGTATATTCATTTGTGAGCTATTGTTCTAAAACTTGTCGAACTGTGCCAGTTTGCTTCACTGTCATGTTTGTTGATTTTTTTAAGGCATTAATACTCTTTATCCTTCAAACCCAAGTAACCTTCTGTATTAGATCTTATCTGTTGTGCTTAGAAAAATTGGAATTCTGGGATTTTAATTTTTTTAAGTTTAAAAGCTATGAAGGTAAATGTAAATTTAAAGTTCCAGGGATAGTTCTTTTTTTTTTTCCTGCCTCTTTTCTTTAAAAAACGTTATATGTCCCATTATTTGGTTGAAATAATTTAAGATAAATGTTTATAAAAATCATATGATTAAGCCACTGGATTTTTTTTTCTCAAGAGAGATAATGTTGTATTTGCTCTTATATTCCTTTAAAAGTCAGTATCAGTAACTCAAATGACTAATGATGACGAAGATTAAGGAAACATTTAATACCTTATTATTGTACCATTTGCTGTAACTTGGAATGTGGCATGAAAGATTGCTTCATAACTATGACACATGTCTGATGTTAGAACTGTTTTCAAGAAAAATTATTTCACAGTTTATTCTAGGGACAAGATATCAAAATATTTTTTATTCCCCAATTAAATTTGAAGTTTTTAAACTTTCCATATACTAAGAGTTTGAGAAGGTACAAGATATAGTCAGTACAGTTTTCGTCTTCTACCAAACTATAGAATGTTTAAGCTTCTATCATCTTTAGGGAGAAAAAAGGACTCTTCTATAGCACTTCATAATTATCAGGATTTGACCCATGGAGCTGTAAGATGAGAAGGCTCTGATTTATTTGGGGCTCTTAGTATATACTGTGTTTTGGTGAAACATGGTCAATTTATCAAAATGTTTACAACTGACTTAAAACTATTAACTGTGTGCAGTAAACATAGCACTGAGAACTTTCTGTTTGTACCTTGAGACCACATACCCGACATGTAAGAAAATAAGGAATTGTGTTAATATTTTGACAGTAGAATTCCTTGATGACCTCAAATGACTTCAAAATTTTATCTTTTGGCAGTAAATAGTGTTCTGAATAAATATTTTATGGGAGATGGTAAGCAGGGTTCCAGTTTCTCAAGGCACCCAAAAATGTATTTGTCTTATATATTAAAACAGTTATTACATATAACAATTATATAGTTAGTGGGATGATATACTCTAGTTTGGTTCTGTTCCTATCCTGAGAAATTTGAGTTTATTAATATATATTTTCAGTTTTACACATCATTTTTAAAAAAAATTGTAAGTACTTAGCATTTCACTCGTTCAACCCAGGACACCACCACATCTGTATCTTTTTCCAGGATACTCTCCTGGTTTTAAATAGCTCCTCTGCAATTTTTGTGGCACCAAGAAAAATATAGTTGGAGTAAAAATTTCTTAAGACTATCCTGAAATATGCCACTTCCTGTCATCTACCCAATGGGATAGAGAACAGAAAAGTTAGATCCAAATAAAAAAACTAATTACTATTCACCGTATATGTTTGATTTTAAAATTTACTAGTCAGAATGTGACACTCTTAGCCCACTGTTATATGCAATTGTCATAAATGTTAATCATGTTTTATATCCGAAAGAGCAATATTCTTAGATGGGATGCATAATTATTATTACTTTTTAGAGATGGGGTCTTGCTTTGTTCCCCAGGATGGAATACAGTGTTAACTTCTTAGCTCACTGCAGCTTCAAACTCCTGGGCTCAAGCAAACCTCCCACATCAGCCTCCTGAGTAACTAGGATTACAAGCGTGCAGCATTGCACCCAGCTAATTTTTAGTTTTCAATTTTTTTGTAGAGATGGGGTCTCACTGTGTTGCCTAGACTGGTTTCAAACTCCTGGCCTCATGCAATCCTCCTGACTCATTTTCTCTAAACTGTGAGGATTATAGGTGTGACCCACTGTACATGGCCCATAATTATTATTATTATTATTATTATTATTTTAAAAAAAGGCCTCAGTGCCATGCCATAATGGTATCCACTCTATTGATCTCAAAGAACAGACCTTGTTTAGTGGTGTGTCTTAGGAATGGTGTTTCCTTAGGTCACAAAAGGAAGGGACTCTGTCACTGCAACTGGGAAGATGGACTAGGTTTCCCATCTGTTTTCTCTGCTGCCCATGTGATCTTGGGAATATTACTTAACCTTTCCGTTGTCAGGTTGCTCATTTGTAAGATGGGGATAATAGTGAGGACCATAAATTAGCATAGGTAAAATGCTTCCAATACTTGGCACTTAGTAAGGGCTAACATTACTATTGTCATCACTTATGCATAAGAAGAAAAGGCTCATCTCAGGAGGAGCTAGTGGTTCTACTTCTGAGCATGGCTAAAGATTCAATGAGCCCTTTTTTTGGACATTGACAGCAGGAAACAAACTTTCTGAATATTGAGCAGTGTTTATGCTGTGACAGTAGTTTACTTATGCAGACATTAAATTTTAAAAACTTCATATTAGTCTCATAAAAACTGTATATATAAACGTACAGTTTTATGTGTGTGTTAAGAGAAAGAGCATATGAAAGTATGTTTAATGAACATGCTAATTTATTGCAACCCCAAACATAATGTCAAGGCACTTGGTTAAGGCATTGCAAAGTAGTATATTATAAAATTCACCTGAATTTTGAGAGGAAAAGTCTGGGTTCTTCTTCTAAGCCAGTAAAATACCTCACACATACTCCCCCAGGGCAATTCATGGTAAGTAGCAGGAAGGGAAATGGCAAGCAACCAATAGCAGTCTTGGTAACAAACCATTAGTCTGTTAAATATCTGAAATTGGACATGGAGTATCATAAAACAATGAAATCTTTCTTCACTGGGTTATGCTTTCCCTAGAATCCTCCAGTGCCAGAACCTAGCTGTATCCCGTTCTTCAGCATAATGCTCGAATTTACATTGTCTTTTATGAAGTGATAACCTCTCACAGTGATGTCAGTCATGTAGATGCATACCTGAAAAGGTACAGAAAAATCCTCATTCCCTGACAGATGGAAAGAATCCTTGTAACTTCTGTTCAAACGCTACCTCTTTAATGAAACATACCCAGCCTGAAATCGAACCTCACTCCTGATCTCTTTTAGCACTTTATACCACTGCCAGGACTCTTAATAGTATGCGTCCTTGGATTTATATAATCAGCTCCCTAAGGATAGAGCCATGTTTATACATCGTTGTATACCTGTGTTACAGGTTGCCCCTCTTTCAGCGCCTGGGATATATTAGACCTGTAATAAATGATTGTTCAAGCAGGAAATGAATAGATAATACTTACTGTTGATTACTTTGTCGTCAACTTGCAGTTTTTTTAAGATAACAACCTGTAGCCACATTCACAGAAACATTGTCAGCAAGAAAGTCTCATAGCACTTAGAAAACTTGTCACCCAGCTGAACATTCTTCTTAACACAGTTTGAATTGCACTGTATCCATATTGATACAGGATTTAAATCCAGTCTCTATAGTGTAAAATAAAATTTTATTTCACATCTATGGTCAGATAATAACATAGGTGTCATAACTTTCATCTCACATCTGTCCAATTTAGTTGAAAGTTAAGTTTAGAGAATAAAAGGATATGGTTATCTTGGTGATGTCACACAGTATCCACCAGTGTTATGTGTATCAGGTGATATGGGTAACTACTAAAGAAATGTTAAGAATTATGCTTTAAGAGAAATAAAAAGTCAATCCATGGGAATCACAAAGTAATGTGATTCCTGGACATGATTCTGAAATTACAGGAAGTGTCAGTAGAACTTCAGCCACCAGTTGGCTGTAATTAGGGTCATCCTTTGGCAGGTTCTGCTGTTCAACTCAACTCCTAATAAGAATCCAGGAGTCCATGATGAATACACATGTAGGAAAGGAGGAATCTCCTGATAGTTTTCAAAAATATCTGACAAACTTGATACTAGTTAGTGCCTAGCTTAATTTCTTACATGTAATAAATAGATAAATACAGCACTGGGCATGGTGGTTCATGCCTGTAATCCCAGCATTTTGAGAGGCTGAGGTGGGCAGATGGCTTGAGCTCAGGAGTTCAAGACCAGCCTAGGCAACATGGCAAAATCCCTGTCTCTACAAAAAATATCAAAAAATTGCTAGGCATGGTGGCGTGCGCCTGTGGTCCCAACTGCTTGCAAGAATCGCCTGAGCCTGGGAGGTTAAGGCTGCAGTAAGCCGTGATCATGCCGCTGCACTTCAGCCTGGGTGACAGAGCGAGAACCTGTCTCCAAAAAAAGAAAGAAAGAAATACAAATGTAGTACCCTCAAAGGATCCTGCCTCTTCCTGTGAAAACCTTAGACTAAACTGATTGATTTGTTATTGAAATACACAGACACCCTTGGATACAGAGGAATTGGAATTTGATAAGACATTCGCTGCTCATCCAGAGCCTTGCTGCTGCCCTCTGCGACTTACCTAGATGTGTCAGAATGCTCACTCACAGGCGCAAGGAAGCAGCAAGCCAAGGGCCATGTGCAGGGTATTATTATCAATTGCTAGAATACATTGTAGTTTTAT